ATAATAATAATAATAATAATAATAATAATAATAATAATAATAATAATGTGTTTTGTGTTGTCATCATTGTATGTTCCCATACAATGGCGAAATTGGCTCTCTGCATTAGGCCCATCCATGTGGTGCAGTGGGCGGCTGTTGGGGCACTCGGGGGGTGATTGGGGATGGGGTGTGCTGCTCAGAGACACCACGAGATGTACAATGACTGGGGACTGAGCCTGGGACTTTCAGGTCCTGAGTCAGCTGCCCTGCCTCTACCCCATCTGGGCTCCCTCTTCCTTAAAAAAAAACCCCAATAATTCAAAATCATGTAAAACTGTTTGGATGGAAAGTGAATGACACTTTTGATCTTTGAACATGGAATGAAACAGACGGTAACCTGTGAAAGCTGCTTTCTCGTTTGTACAGTTTTTAAAAAGTGAATATACAGTATGTCCTCACTACTTCACGGTTCGTTTATCGTGGACTCACTCTGTTGTGGTTTTTCAAAGTAAAATTGTACATGGCACACAATTGGCTGATTGATGGATGAGCCACACGATCGGCATGGAATTTTTATTTAAAACTGATTATTTTAAATTATTTAGCACCTGCTGCACTTTTGTGCAGCCCATACTGCAGGATAAACTTCCTCCTGCAGCCGAACGTGCAGATCAGAGAAGTGGGCGTGGCCAAGAGTGCTTGCAGCTGACAAAGAGCAGAGGAGGCAGAAAGCTGAAGTCGTGACATTATCAGAGTCAGAGAGTCAGAGTTTCTTTATTGTCATTCGCACCTCATGTGGTACATGTGGTGGAGCGAAATTATGTACACGGGGTCCCAGTTACATCCAACAATAAAATGTATAAGAAAAACAGTAATAACATCTAAGATATGAACTAAGAAAAACATCAACTAAATATACACTAAGCACTCATAACATAAAACATTGAACATCAGCACAAACATGAACATGAGTCTGTGAGCAGATGTGCACGCATGAACACATCAACATTGAAACAGATCAGCAGCAACATGATATGGTTTTTCACAGTGATTATTCTAGTTAGAGATTCATGAGTCTAACAGCCTCAGGGTAGAAGCTGTTCCTCAGTCTAGTGGTTCTACA